CGCCAGCGTTGAATGACCACAATATTGTCAGGGTCCAGGCATCCACAGCATAGATCAAACCACCGGGTGCAACTTAGCTGCAAAAAGGACTCCATTCACTGTAGTCACCGGCCGTGGGTAATGTCGTTGCTCGAATTTGCCGTCCTCTAGTGCATCTATTCCAACGGCATCCATCCACCAGCGGTGGTTGTTTGGGTATGGTTGGAGGGTGAAGGGGAGGTTATTGCCGTCGACAATATTTGTGTATAAGCGCACTCCATCGGTGGCCGCATCCCACACTCCATCCAAGCTTCCTGGCCCTACTTTCTACTAAAAATCAAGATGAAAAATCAATTTGAGTGTTACAAGTAGATTTCATCCGCATGTTAATGACACCGGTATGTTTGCTCGTTAATCATATCTAACCATTCCAATTCATGGTAACAAATAATTCGAAAAACTTGCTTTGAGCCGAACAATATCACCGTGTCGCGATCCAAAGCCCACACAAAGCCACTTTTCTGCACCGCCACAACGACTTCACGCAATTTTCTCCTTGACCATATAGCAAGCAGCATTGGTGTCTCTCCAAATCAGCATCCAATTCGGGCCAGGAGAGAAGTCTGATTATTAGGAGCCAAACACACAAAGTAGAAAACATTGTATCCTCCGAGTTGCTTAGCCCACAAATCCTCCTTGCGTTAGTATCAAAAGCTAGTAGTGAATTAAAATGAACATCAGTCCCAAAACACTGATTTTGGTTACTTGATGGTGTCGTTTGATTTTCTGTGCCGCCTGACACCAGAGGACGTCCCACAGAGCTTGGTATACATTGCGTGCTCTGGCATACACAAGGCCTCTGGCTATGTCACTGGAGGGGGTGCTCCCCATTTCGCTGCCACAAATAGACCACGAATATGCCACCATTGTCCGGCTAGGTGTATATTTGCATACATTTCCACTTCGTATGTCTAGCTTTAAGTGAAGATACTCCCACATAGAATGCTCTAAGAAAAAGGAAAAACAACGTTGTTATAAAACTCATTTGAATCTTGTTGTACATCAAAATGAAAAAATAAATACGAACGTATATTTTGAAAACAAAGTTATGGTAATATTGTTGCAAAACATTAGATTTATTTTTTTGGTTATTAAAAAGCTTAGTCATTATGATCATTCAAGATTAAGCTTTAAGAACACTGTTTAGCATTAATTAGATATTAAATTTTAATTTTATGCACAATGATGCCTGAAAAAAAATTTATAATTTCATTGAATAAACACCTTATGACTTGTTACTTTCTTGGTGAAGAGCTTAGAGCCGCTGTAAGAGTCAAAGCTAGTAAGGACCGCCCCACATTTATTTATTTTTGTTCAAAGTATTTCGAATTTTTTTGAAAACTAAAATGACCCTTTTTAGATTTTCAAATACATATTTTAGAGCTTTGATATTCGAAACATGCCCAAAAGACAATTTCTTATATTAATCTCTCTACTACATAAATTGTTGTTCATCACTCAATATAACATTTTTCTTAGTTTTTTGTCGGTATTAACATAAAGCGTGGATGAA